AAAATGAGAAAAAAATGAGAAAAAAAAACAACATCACGAAAGCAATATGGCATTATATTAGAATTATTTCTATTCTGACTCATCAACGCGACCTCGCAATGTGAAACAAATAAGTTCGTTATTTTGAGGCACCTCGGGGGGTTTATTCACCTCGGCAGCGCCTTGCCGAATAAATCACATATCCCCTCGTTGCCTCAAAATAACCTATACATAAACCGTATATGATTTATCATTTTGACAGCGGTATATGTATGAATATAGCATATCGCGAGTTTGTTTAAGTAGTTGTATAGGATGTTTAAAGGTAATCTACAGTCCGATCTGCGCATGCCCAGAGAGTGGGCTCACTATAACAATCAGTTTGTTTTGAAAAGATACAGTGCAGCTTATTCCGCGTGCGCATAATTACTCTGTATTTCCAAATAGTTTGCTCTTGGAGTCTCAAAATGGCGGAAAATGCTGAAAATTCTGGAAGCGGGCAAAAAAACAAACCAAGGTGCAAACAAAACTATCACTGTTTGCGAGATGCTGCAACAATCTCACTTTTTGAAAATTTCGAGAGGTGGAGGTCTTTATTGAGGGGTACAGGATTGCCAATAGACAGAGATCTCGCGAAGCACCTTATGATTTTTAGGCTACGATACGCGAGTGCATAAATTCATACTGATTTCGGAAATAACTTGGAAAGTTGCATTATTTTAATACTAATTTGATTGTGTTTTCTTCCTCTTTCTTCCAATTAAATGTTGTTTTCAATATTGTAGGAACAAAATACATTCTCAGCAACCCTTACTTTCTCCTAAACATGCTTTGAAATCCACTAATGGTAGGTTCATGGTTCATTTGATTTTCTACCAAACATTTATTCAAACATTCACGAGCTCATTCATTTCTTGTGTATGCTAAACTCTTTTCCTAAACTTTTTTAAGTGATCCTGATTCTAGCCTAGCTCCAAAGTTTATGTTTGTATTATTCAATCATATATGTATACAGAAAGTTTAATGATAATATAGGGAAATACATGCATGTACTGCAATTACAAATTTTCTATAATATTTATAGCACTGATGACTGGGCTTATTGATTGAATGTCTTGCAATGATATACTGTATTTAATGTTTTAACCACAAAACTGACATCAGTACTCAAATATTGTATTCTCACTTGTCTATGTTTTCAATATTGTTTGCTCATGCTGTATATGTTTAGAATACCTGTGTATGCTGAAGAAACTATTTCTGCCAGTGAGTGCGAACCTGAATTGATGCTGTGCACATTGCCAACATCCAGGTGCGTTTAATATGATACTGGAAATTGTTTACAATGTTTTCAATCTTGTTTTTTTTCAACTGTTTTGTGGGTTTGTGTTTAGAATTTCTGTGGACGCTGAAGAAACTATATCTGCCACTGAGGATCATTGTGATATAGATGAATCTCAATCCTCCGACTCTAACATTTCCAGGTATGATCTATTTTGTGTTAATTGTTTATTGCAGTTTCCAATGACATATACAGTAGGAATAACGCCAATCCACCCTGTGAACAATCCCTGTGGCAGGATATCAGAGTGCGCAGAGAAAAGCCACAGCCAGGATTCAAATTTGGTGAGAAAAAAACATGTATTGGTGGTACTCATTGCATTAACCTTTAAGTTGCAATATGCATTGATTCACCCTACTTTATTATTTTACTTTGTGTAACGCCAGATGATTCTACTTGTCAGGAAGAGAGTGCTGCCACTCAATGGGTTAAAATTTACATTACATGGAAAGTATACAGGCAGGGCCGTACATAGCGGGAGGGGGGAGGGGGCAACTGCCCCCTCCAGACAAAAACAATATTTACTATTTTAGAATGTCATTATTAATTATTCTTTGAATATTTGGGACTTTTTGGCATATAAGCCTTACTGCCCCCACCCCCACCTGGTGAAAGAGTACGGCCCTGTATATAGCCAGCGCGGCAGGCGGTATTTCTACAGGCAGCGAAAATTAGGGAGGCAAAGGAAATACCGTCTGCCGCAAAACTAGGGGTTTTTGAATTACCCGTCCGCTGGTGAACGGGAAAAACGGATTGGTTAGTATTTTTATGTAGTTGTCAATCAACGGCTAAATTCGGTTAAATGTTAATCATTAACCAAATGTTTTGACATTTTGAAACTCTGCGTTTTGAAATAGTTCACGTCAAGTCAGACCAGAAATGGAATAACATACTAAAAGAAGCAAATTAAAAGATACAAGCTGAAAAATAACACTCTAAATAGTGTTTTTGATAGAGATTCGAACAAGAATATTTAACAAAGAAGATACGTCCGAAGGGGCCGAAGTTATGATCGGCGAAAGGTATGGGCTAGTCTATATTTTCGTTCAGACAATTACATGCGTATTAATTTGATAATATACGATCTCGCTTGACTTTCAAAGGCCATAAATCGCAATAATGTTGACATTTTACTAAAACTATCGATAGAAATTAGGAGATATTTCTTCACTGAATCGAACAGTGGGATTTTCATATAGGCCTATCATGTTCTGAACCAAAGATATATACTTGATAGATATTATATACGAACCTCCAAAGTATAAACAAGGGGCTAGTTGATGCAGTAATTATCAAATAACAGTTAAACTTATATACCCGTTGAATATGTATAGTTGTAAACAAATAAAAACTATCGTTCTATAAGGTTCAATACTTTCAGTTTGGTTGTTGACTAATGATGAATCTATAGTATAGACTTGCATGCTTTGTATTTTGAGCTTATTAAACCACCGTTTTAAGGCAGCTAAACGCGCTTGGTTTATATTAACACATAAAATAAATTCCTTGAGTTTCATCACTAGACACAGTCTACACTTTGAAATGTCGAAGACAGTGGGAGATTTATTTTTTATATTTTATATTTATATAATTTATATATCAATAGTTCGTATCTCCAAGAACAATGACAGAATGACTGAGTTTCTTTAAAATACAATGAAATTTCATTCAAATTTCTGTTTGTTTCAAATTGGAAGTTTAAAATGGCAATAAAAACTCTATATAAAATATAAAAAAATTAACTGTCTTGAATTATTTTGTCGGGCGGTACATTTATATTGTATAACGAAATATAAAACGTTTTCACGAGGATTTTAAAATTCAGTCGGGCGGTGATGAGAATCAAGGAATTTATTTTATGTTGGGCAGTTGGGACTTGGGGGCAGCTTGGGAGTGGCTAATTTTGAATATTTACTTAATTAATGCATCTATAAATAGCGTTGATGCTTCAGGGGCGGTAGTTCATTTACACCCAGTTTTGCGGCAGGCGGTATTTCCTAAGTACCGCCTGCCATGCAGGCTACCCTGTGTACAGAACATTGTTGTACTGTAAGAATGACACATTACTCAACATGTAAATCATTCAATTTTTTAGACTGTCATATAAACAGTTTGCTCCAGGAGGTATGAGCTTTTGTTTTGCAACATTGTTTGTGAATGTTCATAATTTATTGTAGAGTATGATGAATTAGGATGCTTAGGGCACAATGTGACTCAATGGGTTAAATAGACACATGGACAGATAGGCCATGCAGTTAACCATTAATACATGTAAGCCAGGACTCTCTATTTGACAAGTAAAATTGTGTGGTGTTAGACATATTAGGACACATTGCAACCCAATAAGTTAATTTGTTATCTATTTTAGAAAATGAACAATAGTATTTCTTACCTCGAACAGTTGTGATGGTACATCAAAAAACTTCAAGGTAACAGTCAAGGGATAAATCCTTCCATATCCCATTGAATCACATTTGCGCCCTAGTGTGCCCTACTTTATTATTTTACTTGGGAGCAGACTTGGCCATGCCCACTTGCACTTAATGGGATATTGTACATCTTTAGGACTTCATCCTGTTGTCATCTACATAAATAGCTAGCAAAAATGCACTACTTATTAATGAATACATTATTTATATGAATACAGTATTCAAAGATAACACAGCAAAATTTTAAATTCTTGAAAGAAAAAAATTCTTGTTAAATTCTTAAATTGAGCAATATTATTCTCGTTTTGAGCAATCTTATTCTCGCCAAGAATATATAATTCCTGAAACAAGAAAAATTATTCTTACCAAGAATATATTTTCTAAAAACAAGCGAGGTAAATCTTGATAAGAATTTAGTATTCTTGAAATAAGAAAATAGCAAGAATAATAATCTTGACAAGAACATCAAATTCTTAAAACAAGAACAAAGTTCTTGCATAATGAATGCCATGTTCTAGAAGAGAATATAATTCTTGCTGTTGTTTAAAAAAATTCTTGCTGAATTCTTAAATTGAGCAATATTATTCTCGTTCTAAGCAATATTATTCTCGCCGAGAATATATAATTCTTGGAACAAGAAAAATTATTCTTACCAAGAATAAATTTTCTAAAAACAAGCCAAGTAAATCTTGAAAAGAATTTAGAATTCTTGAAATAAGAAAATAGCGAGACTAATAATCTTGACAAGAACATCACATTCTTAAAACAAGAACAAAGTTCTTGCATAATGAATGCAATGTTCTAAAAGAGAATATAATTCTTGCTGTTGATTTCTTATTTCAAGGATATAGAATGATCATCATAATTATTTTTTCTTGTTTTAAGAAAATCAATTCTTGGAAGCAATTTATTTACTTTCTTAAATCAAGTAAATTAGTTCTACTTGTGTTAAGCAAACAATTACTAACCTTGCTAATTATCATATTTCAAAAGAACACATTTGCTTGAAATAGAAATTTTAACAAATACTATACAAATTGCAATGCTTGCATAATAGCATGGTCAAAACATGGAACCAAACTATCATGCCTAAAAAACAGCAACCATGAATACTGTTTATACTAATGGAATTTTAATTCTGAAAAACTGCTACAGTATAGATAAATTAGGGAAAACTACATAAATAACACCAGAGGGTATTTATGATTAGAATATAGTCACATTCAAACTACTGAACTCTTACCAGTCCACTAATGAAGAGGATTTCGTCCTTCTGCATGTTCTTCAATTATGTCACATAGGTAATATTTAACAGGAACATACTGGTTACCATGTTTATCTTTCTTACAATGAAAGACATTGGAATCCACTAAACTATCATATGGACAAATTGTAGTACAATCCTCATAATTTTCAACATTTCTGACACAATAGGCTTGATATTTATGATCAAAACGTTGTGTATGGAGCAATCGTACATCAAAATACACGAAGTCGAGAATAGACCATATACACAGGATTACACCAAAAACAGGCAGTGCAGGGTCTCCAGCAACATCAACAGCAATAACACCAGATTTCGCATACTTTGTGCCAAAAAGCGTGATCCAGCTAACTTTGTACACATTTACAAGATCAATACCAGGTAGAAGCCCGCATGAATTAAATCTTTCTCGCAATGACAGACACACTTCTGCATTCACCATCTTTAATACACCAAACGTTTTCTCACTGAAAAACAAAGGATGCGAACTTGGGTTTTCCGCAGCATCACCGAAGTTGCAACACAAGTTGAACTGATGGCGCTTTGCTAGTGACAATGGTAAATTCTTGAAATTCTGCTTTCTTGCTAATTCCTTGAAGAAGTTATGGGCAGATTCAAAGCTAAAACACGACGATCTAACCATTGGGCCAAGCATTTGAATTGAAGTTGGTATATGGAGTAAATAGTGTTGTTTGGGAGTTATATTGCAGTTGGGGAACAGCTCTTTAAATTGTGAAAGATGCTGTTCAATAAGTTCTGCCAGGTGCTTGATGGTATCCAATTTAATCACAGGTGAAAAAATTAACTGCACAATCTAAATCAACTGCAGTAGAAACTGGTAATACTGATCATCAGTGTCAATCAAAGGACTGATTAAAAATGGCAAGAGTCGTAAGAATAACCGAGCTTTTGCAGCATTGTACTTTAATTTGTATCGTTCATCACCGTGGAACACAGTATCTCTCAGGGGAATTGGCTTGTCGCTGATTTCTGAATAGCCATATTCATGACTTAAAATAGCTCCATTGATTTCTGAAAGACTGGTTTGACTAGACTGAATGTAGTGTAGCAAAACTAGTCTAACCTCATATTGCACAACTCCTTCTAACAAAGTGTGCATGATGTCCTGGGGAAGTTGTTGGGTGACATCAAATGTAGGTAGCTGGCAAAGGGAACTTCTTGTAGTTAGTCCGTAAGTTGTTTTCAGATCGTTTTGGACATTCAGAGTTGGAGCCTGTTCAATGGCATCAAACTGTGCACTGTAGGTTTCCATTGTCCGGAGAACAAATGCTTCTTCCAGAAAGTCACGTTGCATTTGTTCAAATGCACATTGGCAATGACGACACTTCTGAAAAGCTACTCCAACTCCCTCTTTGTAACCTCCCCAATAGTGCTGACCGAGGGTATCACCAGCACAAATCAGAACCTTTCCATGGATGACTTTTTCAACACCATTAATCTCCATCTTATATCCCTTGTACAAGATATTCAAATCATCCACCAGTGGCTTCATAATGGTATCAATGCCATACTTCTTCACTAAATCAGCATTAGCAATCGCAAATAAATGGACTGCACAACGCTTGGACCTGAACTTTGGACATAAATTTGCAATTGTATAATAGTACATGTCAAGTTTGTGCACCCCTGCATTACTGCCTAACGGGTTGCACACCTCTAATTCATCGTGATATAGTATAAGACACAAGGAGTTCTCATGCTTTTCAAAATAGTCATCATTTTGATACAAAAGACCATCTTGTACATCATAAAATACATCCCCATGGCAACATTTAGGATTTCGCAGAACCATAGTTGAGATACGCTCATTGGTTAGAATTTGCTTTAAACTTTCAAGTATAGGAATGTATACAAACTTCTCACTTTTCTCGCAAATTGTTCTTGTACCTCCTTGCATTTTCCAAGTAAACTTTTTTCCTAAAGTCACTTCCTTTGGTTCAACATAATTGAAATTTTCTTTGATGTACTTGGATTGCAAAGCATCAGTGCCTATTCCAGCGAAAGGATCTTTACTGATTCAAATATCTCGTTGACTTGAGCTTTCTGTTCATTGCATTCTACGACATTTAGCACATCCACTTTCACAGAATCCACCACTTGCTTTATCAGAGTACGTGTACTATCCATAATCGATTCCATTGCAACCTAAAATACCGTATAATTCATTTCAGTATATGCTACACTGTTTGAAACTGTTTAAAGATTCCTATGTGATTATACAAGATTTCAGTTGAACTTGCGTCATAATGACAGTGCGCACGCAAGTTCAAATTTTCCTGCTGGAAAAACGATTCTGATGGCGGCATTTCGAGAAAAGTTCACATCGCTTGTTTAATAACTTTGTTTTATCACCGTTCAGGATGTGGATCTTTTCTTGTAAACAAAGGTCGCAATTCTTTCCACCGCTTCAATAAGAACCTACTTGTCTTAGAACAGACTACTTGATTGAGAACTTGCGTCGATTCTTCTTTAAATTTTAAATGTGCTTCGAAAGTTTGGTGGCAATTGCGTAGCGTGCATCATCAAATGTTTTGTGGGTGATTCATTGAAACCCAGCTATATTTGTGTTTTTTTTGCCTGTTCAATTTCTACTTGTAACGTCATATACTGAAATGTTTTAAGTTCTTGTTACGAGTAATAACCAAGCCGAGCAAAGAGAAAACTTTATTAGAGCGCGACCATAATATGTAATATGCTAATTATATAATATATTAATTGTATAATATATTAATTATATACCGGAGGTATTTTATTTCTTTCTTTCACCTTTAGTAGGAATGAAGCAGCACTCTTCTTAATGTCCACATCAATATTCTAAAACCACATTCAAGTTATTGTAATTATAGCGCTATTATACCCGATGGCTTCGTGCTATATTTTCAATATTAAACTGCTTCTGATGGATGTTGTGTAGGTGTCAAAAATAATCTTCTCACAGGTTAAGGACTCAGATTAAGGTACACAACAGGAGTCAGAATATGATATCCCTGGCTAATGCCTCATACAAGAAAATCAAGACAGGTGCAAAGAGTTGTACATCCTCAGTCATTTTCTAGTGATTAGTGTCATGTTTTATTGGTATAGGAAGTTATAGCACGTATCTACATTAAGTTACGAATAATTACAAAAGCCATTTTTAAATAACAATAAAATGAAACAAAAAGTGGAAACAATATTTACTTAAGGCGTCAAATCAAAACAAAAATGACTGTATAGACTATAGGGCCCTTTAATCATGAAAATATGAGCTACAAATAAGTATTATAAATGACATTATGTAATTAAATGTGGCAACTATTAAGTGGTAAACGTCCTATTTTCTGCTGGCCGGTTATGAATAAAGCAAAAAATGTTCTCTCATACGGTACACTGCTGGTGTATGGTGGTGCCGGTTGGCAAGCACATCTGTTGTTGTGACAGATGGCTACAACAGCTCCCAGTATGTTTTTCTCAATAAAATATCATTTTGTCTTAAATGTCAGTGATTCTGTGCCAGGATGGAAATAGACTACAAGCAGCCCCTCCTTTCCCCGGGTTCAGATACTCTAGCTTGCGGGTTGGGATAGGAAAGACTACATACAACACTATAAGAAATGAAACACACGTTGTCTACACAACACACAATTCCCATTGGTTGAAACGTTGTGCCTGTCAATCAAATCTGATATACTCTGATAATGTATTTGCTAAAATAATTGCCAGACTAGAATATATAATCAGCCGTCGCAACGGAATTGAAATTTGTAAATATTAAAATTTCAAAACGCTTTGCGGTCCAATTTTTTATGATTTTCACCAAGTATATGTTTCAAGATAACTATTTTGAGTACAGTAGTTTGAACACTACATGGGAAAATAAATTGCTGTTTATTTTAAGAAAATGATCAAGCATTCAACATCTGAGCATTTTGAAAATTTAAATTTACAAATTGCTATTTGTAAAGTTGACGGTTTCAAATTGCTCGGAAGAACTTGTCAATCAATACTGATGTTAATGCAAAGGCGGAGTCAAAATGACAGTTACGAAAAGCGGGCATACTTTATTTCTAACTGTGATGTCTGCAGTCCCTACTTTCCAGCTTTGAGGGACTATTTGCAGTCTAAGATGGAAACACAGCTACCAGTAAACAATAAAATGTAAGCAAAATGATGATATTAAAACCTCATGTTTAAAAAAAAAACCAGTATTCTTGCGTTTCATATCACCTCATGGATTCCAATGTCCGGAGTCAACTCGAAATCGGGACGCAGTAATTGGAGTGAGTTAATAACTGTACTGTTCTCGCACCAATTTTGTATAATTTTGTTTGAAGTTTTTCCTAGCAACTTCAATAGATGGATTTCGTGTGACATAAGTTGTTACATTTTACTGGAGGCGGAAGTGAAACCAACCAATCATGTTTACTAACAACATGAAGCAACCAATCACTAAGCTTAAAAGTTTGTCACACCTCCAAATTTTACATAATTTATGTGCCGTATTTTAGAACCTGTCTATGTGGAGGATATGACCCATATTCCCTAATGCATGAAACTTGCCAAATGTCAGTATTAATTAAAGACAGTATAATTTAATACAATCGTCCTGGATATTCATACGACACTGGAACTCAACGCCTGAATGCAGGGGTATTTTAGGTTTTGGGACTTGGGTGGGAGCTCCCCCCCCCCCATATTTCAGGGGTTTTTTTTGTTTAGGGGGAAATTTCCCCATCCCTCCTAACAACAAACCCAGTCATTTCCTACGCTCACCTATTTGTACATTACATTGTACATTACATTATTTCCATTCATTCCAAAAAATTAAAAGTTGAAAAGAAAATAATCACAAATGCTCTAAAGAGTCATGCCCCATTTTGGGGGGAAATGCATTTGACATGAAGTTTTTTTTTATAAAATAAACCGATCTCACACACTACCCCTACACGTTCGAGGAAAAAATAGAAAAAAAACTGACTTTAGATGACGCTAATGGACGCTGTAACCACTAGGCTACTGGCTCAAACGCTGGAAGCTTCAGGAAAAAAATAGTTTATTATCTTACTACAAATAATTAATAATTATTGGATGAGGTTGAGTGGGATATCGAGAATTATTATTATTTATACATCCTCATGGCACCTTGTAATGTGCTTATATAACGAGTTATATTTCGTAAATATTGCCGGACAATCGTCAACGTTACATACAACTCGAAAATTGGTTTCATGGCCATGAACCTTATTATAGTGATTAAGTGGCTGTCTCACTAAGAACCATGCAGAGCGTTTCAGGTTGAAAGTTAGATTTCCTTTATATTTTTACCATGAACTACCTTTGTCCTAAAAGGTATCAAACTAATATTAGAATTTCTAAATTTTTCTGGTTTTTTTAGTTATGACGAATTTTTTTCTGGACGTCAACGACACTGAAATTTGATCCCGAAAACGGCGGTCAAATGTGTGTTAAATTGTGCATCATAACTCGGAAAGTTTCGCGTCAAATTAAAAACTTTTTTCAGCGTATTGAGACATATTCTTCTTCTTTTAGAATGTCGAAAGAATTTGAATGTACATCTTATTTTAAGCCTACTAGTCTCCATCCAAGGAAGTCGGTATTTTCGTTCGCCGAACAACTAATGATTAGGTACAAAATTCAAACTAAAAATTCTCAAAAGTGCAACCTACCTCGTGTCTAAAACATTTTTAGAGTTAAAGTAGAATACTTAAAGTTATGTTATTCGCAATAAAACTTGTCGGCAAAAGGAATATGAAAAGTGCAAAATTCATAAATTATGGCTATAAATAGCTCTATTGTTTACCTTTGTGATAACCGGAAACATGCACGTTCAAGGTTGCTCGCGGAGTTTTTATAGCGACTAATATATTGCACAATCATTGTATTTAACTCAGAAAAGTTTAATTCGATCGATGAAATGCGACGGATCTTTGAGGTCTAAAACGGTCAGAAGAAATAAATTCGTCTAGGACGTTGTATCCCTCATGACAGGACAGGTACAATGCCAATGTCGAAAATGTGTGTTGCCGTAACGTCGCATCGAATTAATAAATCCATGGACTTGTTATTATATTCTGTTAAAAGTTGTCCGTTTGCCCATTTGGCAGAATTTTTGTCCTTTCATGTAAACCATTCAACAGGGGTGGAAATTTTTTTTTCTTTCTGGGAACCTGGATCAAAGGGTAGAAATTTTCTGTAAAATTTGTAATGTTACAATTACAAAAATAACAAAACAAATGCATAATTATTGTACTATTTGTACTTTAGTAATAATGGGCTTTAGGCTGGTTTTCGTACGCTTGTACATCACAATAGTTGTCTGTTATATACCACAGTTATGAGTTATGACCAACTAGTATTGATCTTGATTTTTTCTGTGTTGGTGTTATGTAATAAGGTGAAAATGATGTTTGTGATGTTACTCTGAGTGTATATCCACACCAGGCAAACTTGAAAAATATGCCTGGCCATGGTGGGAATCAAACTTATACGACCTTTGGAATACTAGATTACATTGATGTCGAAGGAACTAAACTCAGTTCCGAAATATCACATATTCGAACCGACCTGACTGCGTCGCTCAGCTGGCAGAGCATTGGGCTAGTATTCCAAAGGTCGTAGGTTCGATTCCCACCCTGACCAGGCATATTTTTCAAGCTTGCCCGGTGTGGATACACACTCAGAATAACATCACAAACATCATAATAAGGATCTAACGCTTAACTAAGTGCCTTATCATCTTATTTATTCCATCACTTTTATTTGTTTACTATTTAATTTGCATTTTATTGGAGACTTTGCAGAGCATATGTTTACCATTTTACCTGTCATTATGATGACAGGGGTGGGTAAAAGAATTAATTTCTGTCAAATATTTAAAAGCTGCTGATGTTAGCGTGT